ACGAAGTTCAAATAATGTTCAACTTTCAATGTCCTAAACACTAAGTAACTAGGAACACCTCACTTTGTCAACAAGGCCAATGAGATGACCTCTTTCAACAAGGACTCAAAGGCTCGACAGAGACTTGAATAAATAGTCAACTGAACTTGAAGTTACCCCAAACTGAAGGTGCTACTCGGTTGCCTGACTTTACAGCTCCAATATTGTTAATCCAAACTGAAGATGTCTCTGGTTGTCAATACAATGCTATTAATCCAAACTAAATGTTGAGTTGACAAAGTTAGGAAAGTTAGTGTTTCCTCAAAAGTTTGAGAGGTTTTAGAGCAAGAATGCAAAACAATTTATGTGTTGAGTTGAAGATCCTTTCAATGTTGCATAATTGCTTCTATTTATAGAAAGGATTCTCTTCAGTACGCTTTGTACTATCAATCTGCAAATGTGTTTTTCAAATTGGAGAAGGATTATCTCCCTTCTTTTTTCCCTCCCCTTCCCTTCTCTCCTATTTGAACAGTCACGATTAAGTCACGTCAACAACAACTTATATTAATTTTTTATAGAAAGAAAAAGACAAAATATAAATTGTGAGAGGAAAGAATGAAAGGAGATGAAAAGAGGAGGGAAGAGAATCCTATTACTTCCAAATTGCACCCATCTCTCTGTGATATTATTGGAATATTCATTCCACCAGCCACCAAACCAAATCTCTTTTGGTTTCCTTATGAACTTAAAATTCTTGATAGAAATTCAACACGTGTGATGAGACCAACAAGATACGTTCCACCAATATTAAACCAACTCCTCCACCCATGTTACGTAATTCCACACGTCCACATGCAATCAAACAGCCCCATTTCAATAACCCATTTTCGTTTTATCCACGCCTCCAAATAATAGTTTGATAATTATTAAATTAATCTAATAGTAATATTTAGTAAAAATATTAGGATGAAGTGTCAATTTAGTCTCTGAAGTATCACCTCGTTGAAAATTAGGTCCTGAATTATTTTTTCAATAAAATAAGTCCCTAAATTCATTAAAAATTTCTAATTTCATCTTTGCTATTATTTTTAAAGCTATTTTATCCAATTTTTCGTCAACTTAAATCAGACACATTTCAGAGTGTAATACCGTCATTTTCTCACTTATAAGCCCTCAACATTTCATATAGGTTGCGAATCTAACGTCTAATTTACCCTCCAAAGTTAACTCCATACACTATTTCTTTATGAAAAACTACCAATCTACACTCCAATATGTATTACATGAAAGTACCTCAATCAAACAAGCCGATGATGCCAAATTGGGTTCAAACAGCAGCCCATTAGAGATGCAATGTCTAGACTTTTTTTTATCTTAATACAAGTGATATTAAAAAGAAGAGAAATCAAATTCAAGGCTTCAGGTGCAAGAAGTGAATGTTTCAAACCAAAAGAGCTACAAGTTGCTTGTCTACAAGAATCAAACTCAAAATTTCAAGTGGACGAAAGTATTGTGCTTGAACCAAAAGAGCTCAAGCTTCTCCTTTACCATCCAAAATTATCCATGAAATCAACACAAGAAATCTCAAGCTACATCGACCTGGCCCGGAAGATGGGCTGGAGGTGCTGGCGGTCCTGAAGGTGCAGCAGGCCCAAGACTCATTGGGACTCTTCTACATCCTCGCTTTTAGGCCTAGACCAACACAAAATGCACCAAGACCAGGATCCAGATCACCAATACCATTGGAATAGATATCACCAGTTCCTTGAACTTTGAGGTCTACAAAATTACAAAATGTATTTACCAAAATGAAGCACATAAATTAAAAAGAAAGTTGCAGGTGTAAGCATAGTTACATTGACTAGAGCAGATAGTCCAAACGTAATGCAGTTCTTACGGTCTTACCTCTCTCTGTCTTCGATCTGGCTTGTTTTCCAATAACAAGTTATGTAATGGGCTTGTTGCAAAAAAGAAAAACTTGTAGCTTTGAGTTGTTAATAATGTACCAATGACTAGAGTACATATGTGTGTGTGTGTGTGTGTGTGTGTGTGTGTTGAGCAACTAAGGAGGCCTCTAAGCTTGTCCACATGTCAACAATGTAATTTTTTATTAATTTATTATTATTACGATGAGGAGAGCAGACCGAAACATCAAACCCTGGATGCATGAGTAAAAACTCAACACCCAACGGTTAGTGATCTAACTTTTGATACGAAAAACTTGTAAACAAAGAAACTTGATACAGAAAACTTGTAAACAAAGAAACTTCTAGCAAAAGTACCAAATATCAACGTCGTAGACGAAAGTGAAGAAACAAACAATCTCAAAAATAAGAACACAAGAGATTTAATGTGGTTTGGCGTAAAGCCTATGTCCACGGGAGAAGCACGGCGAGGAATTTCAATAAACAAACGGATATTACAAAAGAGTGTTTAAACTCTCCCAACCCAAATCCCACAAATTACAAACTCTAAACCAAACGAGTAGAGAACCCAAACTTAACAGAGAAGATTCTTCCAAATTGCTCTCTAACTCACAAACTCACAAATTGACTCTCACCAAATTGCCACACGAATGAGCCACGAATTTGCCACACTGACTCCAAACGGTAACCTCTAACCAAAACTCAATGAGAGAAAACTCTTCTAAACTAACAGTGGTGACAGAGACACACAAAAATAAACTAACCCCAAAGTCCTATTTATAATGTGTAGGACTTAGGTTACAATGAGAATCTTAATTCTTATTGGAAGTAAATCCAAATCGTAATCAAATCGGTAATTAACAAAATCTCTCCACCAACTAAGGAGTCCAACAAATAAGTCAAATCCAAACACAAATAGGACACCAAACAAAATAGGTAACTTAAACCTAATTCATGTATTATCCTAATTTTGAGCCGTAAATCCAAAAGTCTTCAAAACTTGAAATCCAAAAGTCTCCAAAAGTCTCCAAAAGTCTTCAAAAGTCTTCAAAAAATCCAACAAATTCCATTACGGAAACTAACAAATAAAAGCAAAAAAATCTATGCAAAGCTCGAGCAAATGAACCAAAAAGTGCGAACATTTCGCCAAAGTTTCAAACTTCAAACTCCACTTGATGACGAATGCAAAGTGAACAAATGTTGCCTTAAAGACAACCGAAAAAATTTGGTATACATACTCCCAAGATCATTCCTCCATCAAATTCTTCAAATATCAAACTTCACCCATGACACAAAAGGCTTCATAGTGACTGGCAAGCAAAGCCCATGTCGAAACCTAGCTCTGATACCACTTGTACTTTTATGCGCAAACGGAAGCGAACTCTAGCAATGTACCAAATATCAACGTCATAGGCAAAAGCAAAGAACAATCTCAAAAGTAAGAACACAAGAGATTTAACGTGGTTCGGCATAAAGTCTACGTCTACGGGTGAAGCACGACTAGGAATTTTACTAAAAAAAAGGAGATTACAATAAAGCGTTTAAACTCTCACAACCCAAATCCCACAAATTACAAACTCTAAACCAAACGATTAGAGAACCCAAAACTAACTAAGAAGATTCTCCCAAATTGCTCTCTAACTCACAAGCTCACAAATTGACTCTCACCAAATGGCCACACGAATGAGTCACGAATTTGCCACACACTCATGACTCCAAACGGTAAACTCCACCCAAAACTCAATGGGAGAAAACTCTCTAAGTTAATGGTGTTGGCACACAAAAAAAAACTAACCCTAAAATCCTATTTATAATGCATAGGACTTAGGTTACAATGAGAATCCTAATCATAATTGGAAGTAAATCCAAATCGTAATTAAATAGGTAATTAACAAATATCTCTACCAACTAAGGAGTCCAACGAATAAGTCAAATCCAAACCCAAATAGAACACTAAACAAAATAGGTAACACAAACCTAATTTTTTCGTCATCCTAATTTTGAGCCGTAAATCCCAACACATTGTTATTTATGCATAAACAGAAATAAAAACTGAGTGCTGGCTTCAATTCTGTAGAAGGGGACTATAGAAAACTTGAAACAGCATTCGCTGTCTTGGTTGCTTGCTATACCTATCTTCCGATAAACCTATCGACACGAGCCCATAGTCTACTTTTAAAATCATGGCATCATTTCATGCGCGGTACATTATAATTGATGAGTAACTCTTGTATAATGTACCACGTTAATCGGTATTAAAAAGTTGAGATAATAGTTGGTTCTACTTTGCCTCACCATATACTGCCTTCATGATCAAGTAACAGAAGCAACACAAAGAATTAAGAAGCTTTTCTACAATATTGAAATTCAACTTCTATGTTCATATATACATGTCTTGGTGACAGTGGGCACAATTTTTTACAATGAAGCATACAAGTTACCTGAAGGATTTTACGACGAACATTGCATTGCTTTAACTGTAAAGAGTCGGTCCTCATTTTTTTTTTTTTTTATTTTTTATGAAATGAGGTGATGGTATTCACTGATCATTCTCATAATCTTTTTTTTTTTTTTTTTTAAACTGAAATACAAATGAGGGGGCACTTACAAAGAAAAAATGTGATAAAAATCATTTGAAACAATAGTTGGTAGACGTAGAAAAATCATGAATATAAGCAGAAGTTGCACATGAAGGAACGTTGCAACTACTAGTAATATGCATCGCGATCTGTACCAAAGTTAGTTAAGGCATCAGTCTCACAGTTGCCCTTGCAAAATATATGGGAGACAAACACATATATGCCTAATTTGCCATAGGCAATTGCTCCAATCAACATGCAAATACCAAGTAAATAATAGAACTAGGAGCGTTTAAGTAGTGAATCACCATCGACCAAAAAAAAAGTGGTGAATCACCATAGTTGAGTCGTCTCCAACCAAATGTGATGTCATTCATGCACTCAAGCAACTCAAATAGCCTCAATTACAACAAGAACCTTAACTACAATCGAACTAAAAAATTCATGAACGACGCAAAAGCACCCAAAGCAATACCTTGTGAATCACGAAATACACCACCATAACCTGCACAGCCTATAGACTTGAATGACCCATTAGTATTTACCTTGGTCCACCCCAGCATAGGAGGTTTCCATACAATAGGGATGAAACGTGGTCAGTAGACAACAAAGGAAAAAGACCTAAAGTCTCAAAAATAGGAGCACTTGACGTAAGAGGTAGATTCTTTAGAACATGTACGAATCCTAACCTTGACATGAGTCATGCATAACTTAGCACTCTCAAAATGGATCTCGTTCCTCCTTATATTCATGGGTTGACTTATACACAAATGTATACTCGTTAAAATACATGTTAAATTGTGAAAAAAGAACTGAGCCGAGTATAATACGTCTGGACCACGGCGGACTTCTCTTGGGGTGGAGGCACCCGAGGCCCAAAATACTGTGGAGCAGTAGATGATTGCCTTCGCCCGTCGCCCTACCAAGGAGGTAAAATGCAAGGGCTACAATCAATATGAACAGTATAACCGGCGCTGATACGACAATTATGTATCCCATTTGATTTGAAGCTAAAGAGTCTCTGCATATCACAAATCATGCACTTAGATTGAAAGTTAAATGTAACATGGATTTATCAACTAATCAAAATACATATTTACTTTGTTAATGAAACATGGATTCATCCAGTAATTCCATCTATAAATCCTATACGATTACCTAAAATCGTTACACATATGATTAGTTGGTCTAGTGATATCTACTTTATTAGAACTCATAGACGGAATTACTGAATCAATAAACTAATGGTATGTCCACTTAACAACAATGCAACGGGATAAGGAAGGAATCGAAGAACTTAGAAATAGTAGATGCAAGGAAAAGAAATTGGATTCTTGATTTTCAAATGTTTGATTACGGACATCAGTGGGAACTCACGTCCTTTCGATTCCAATTTAGTAAAACACAAAAGAAAGTTAAAGAAGTGAAACGATTCCCGTACTCGTATTTTAGTAAACTCAAGGAACTCAAAAGTCGAAATGATTCCAATTCTTATGGACAGGACTTACCTCTTGGGCTATTGGTCTGGGGTGTGCCCTTGATTTTTCCAAACTAAGCAACAGATTACCTGAAAGATTCTGTGAAGCCCGGAACTAAAGCTTAAAAGACTGAGACAGAAAGAGATGATGATGAACAATCATGTCCAACCAGATCACTCGGTTGAGCTCAGGAGGCGGCCTGTAAGCTCCCCACGTGTCAGGAATCTGACCGTGGACATGGGGGTCACGTGAGAGGGAGCATGCTGATGAACTATACACGCCACTGGTTGTCAAGGTTATGCCATATCTATCTTGTAATGTCAAAAAAGCAGCGACTTAAATAAACTAAAGTCCTCGCTCGTTCACTTTACTTGCTCCACCTGCAATTTTATTATAATACAGAAAGATTGATTGCTCTTTCGTTTCTTAGAAAAAGGTTGGCTTCTGAAATAAGAACTTTTAATACTTTTTCTGCACTTGCTCAATGGTGGAAGCAGTTAAAGGATGTTAGCAAGCGGTTAATTATTATGGTGGTTAGGGTCTTTCGTTTGTTGCATTGTGTTTCGAATTCAAACTTTTCCGCTCCTTCTACTATAAATTAAAGTATCATTTTGTTTAAAGAGTGTTAAATTTAGTGACTTTTGAGTTAGTTTTTAGTAATCAAAAATAACCACCACTCTTTTATTTTCTACTCTTATTTAGTTTGTTCGTTAGTTTTATTTGATTTATTCAATTTGATTAACAAAAAAATAAAGAGAAAGTGTCAGAGGAAAAATAAATAAATAAATAAAAAAGCTGTTATATTTTTCTTTAGGATACATTTGGTGTGCGGAAATTGGATCCTCTCCTCAAGCTTAGGAGTCTCATGGCCAACACACAAGGGCCGTTGGATTTTGATCCAACGGCTACAATTATTACAATTTTTAGAGAGCCTCATGTTTGTAACCGTTGGATTAAAATTCAATGGCCCTTGTGTGTTGGTCAGGAGAGGATCCAATTCCGACTAAAAAACTGCTGTCTTCCCCATATTTAGTAAGTCTAGACTTGAAAAAAAAAAATGATTTCCCCACCAACAGGGGTAAAAGAGAATACCACTGCTCCCTTTGTATTCACTTTCCTTCCCCAAGGGAAACAAAAAAAAAAGATGCACTAATTGATATCTTTTTATGACAAAAATGTTCCCGTTAACAATTTAAAATTCGCATTATATCTCAAAAAAGTGATATTTCCCATCAACTTTCTCAACGTTACAAAATACAATAAAATAATTTTGTATTTCCCTTCCCCTACGAAAAGACGGAAAATCATTTCCCATGAATTCATTTCGGCAAACCAAATATTCCTCTTCCCAAAATCCTTTCCCGAATTGATAAAAGATGTGTTGGTCTGGTTGGTGACTACAACTACATTATATGGGACAGCCGAATCGACTCACTAGCACAAACACCCGTATATACAAGCGATACTGAGAGGAGGAATACAAACTTGGAACTTTACATGCCGAGATTAAATACTCCTAACCAACTGAACTACCAATCTCACGCTCCACAACTTAATAATTTAGTGCACAAAATTAAGGAGACAAGTGACCAAAATGGTCTAAATACTCAAAATCGAAGTATTTTCCTGCTAAAGCTGTTAACTGGCCGATTAGTATTTGCATTCATGTTCATTTGTTTCATGTCAGCAGCACCTTGGATTACATCGCATCCCTATAACTTCCTGCAATGGAAGGAGAGATGAACGAAAAACCCCTGGCGTTTTCAAATTTCAATCTTATCGGAAAAAGTAACAGAAGCAAGCAAGCAAGCAAAGTAACTCAAAATATGCAACAACCAATTTTCAACCTTCCACCCATTTTCTTTGATGATGCTGCAATTACAGATCCAGCAATTCTTACCTATGCATATGTTAAAATACAAGGACATACAAATTGCAGCGACGGCTTTGATACAGTGAGAGAAACTGTCTTAACTGAGCGTTTTGATCCAGAAGATGAGCCGTTTCCCAGAATCAAACAGCTCGATAGCCCGGTTGAGACATACTGTGTCTGTGTATGAAACTGAGAGTTATTTACCCATAAGGAGCAGATGTCAGAGACTTGCCCGAACCAGGACCCTCATGAGTGCCAACAGTTTTGTTGGATAATCTACGCTTGTAGCGTTTGAGGACAGATGCCAGATTTTCTTTTCCCTTTGGGAAAGCTACATCACCAGCTGCTGTCCCTGTTCGGCCCCTTCGAGAATTGATTGCAATTTCCACATCCTTGATCATGTCTAGAAGCGTTACTGCCGTTGTGCATTTTCCCCTGGCTGGTTTTGCAGGAGGAGGTATTCCATTAGAAAATGATGGACTCGATTGCAGCTGGTGTGCCGCGGGAACTTGAAGGCAGATGCATGGTGACATTGGAGAACGAGGCTTTGAAAATGCCGAATCAATAATCCCCTAGAATTAACAAGATACAGAGCCAGTAACACTACTGATTAAGAAGCTTTGGAAATAAATATACATTTGAAGTTAATCTACTTGATACAGAAGTAGCATTAGTGCAATGCAAGTAGAAACTCCAGTACAATTCACCAAATATACAAAACTCATGCATTTCACCATGCTAATCATGTATAATCCTCCTCTCGCACTGAGCAGCAATAAACAAACCTTATAAGAAGCATACAATGTAGTATACAAAGCAGTCAAAGTTCAACGTCCAAAACGAAAGTTTTTAGATTGATTAGACAAAAAAAAAAAAGGTAAATAGGGCTCAGGTTATGGAAATGTTTTTGTGCTCGAACAAAGATTTGTTCCATGTAGCTTTTGAAATTGGAAGATCTGTTCCACAAAGATTCTAAGTTGTGTTCAAGGCATGTTTCTACAGCGGCTTGAGGAGTGTCAGAACCAATTAAGTTTATTTAGGGTTTACTTAACTTAATTTAATTTATTCTAGGATTTCTATTCATGCTGTGGTTTGATTTCATTTTTGTTATTGCAAAATTTGAGACACGAATGTAGTTTATTAGACAAAGATTTTAAGTGTTTACCTGAAGTCGGTTGAGAACGTAGGTATATTTCCCCCATAGCTCTGGCCGGCTTTCCATAAGTGACAAATCAAGAATGCGATGGATACACCAAACCCCAAAGCTTACTACCAAATCTGCCTTCCATATACAACCATCCCCACAATGTGGAACTGAGGAAATCATAATATAACTCAAATCATTATTCTTCAATGCTGAAGCAGACTCCGTATCTGAAGAATGGTACTGAGGCTCGCCCACTTGACCTGTTCGATTTATCTCTCTAGTTTCAGCTTCATAAAGAAATTTCTCCTTTGCAGCCACGCAATCAATTAGATCCTCATCAACCCCATCATTCTGTGTAAACAACCAGTCCGACCCTTCCAATTTCAAAAGCTTCACAATGCAATGCCTGAAAGCCTGAAGAAGCTTGGCCTCTGAATATGCAACCGAAGTAGATTCTTGATTTACAGAACCTACCCTATTACCAATTCCACTACCAATAGTACGACTAGTATCAGCCACACCGAACTGCTCAAAAGGCTGTCTAGACCAGAGTGACCCAGTGTTAAAAGTAGAACTCTGTTGTGATGACAGAGAATTGTAGACTTTTGGAGAGAGTTCATCAAAAGCCAAAGGAGCTCTTGTTCGTGCCCCAGAATTTGAATACAAGGATGATTCATAACCAGCCATCCCAGGAGATGATCCATACCCGAGAGAACTTTCCCAGTTAGCATTTTTATCAGGCATGTAAAGCTCCCGGTGAATGTCTGGTAAACTATGGTATTTCTTTGCATTGGCTGGACTTGCCACATTCTCAGCAATTCCAGAAGAGCATGGATCATAATACGGTCTTCCAGATTGCATTGGACTATTTCTAGATACTGTAAAGTTCTGAAAATTGGAGACCTGACCAGATCCTAACCTATTTTGCAACTTCTGCCCCATGGTAAATGCAAGTGAATCTCTGTAGTTTTCAGCACCCAACGAAGAACCGGACTTTAGGATTGATGGCTCCATTTGAGGGTTCAAGTTATCAGAATTTTTTTCCTTTGACAATCGATTGATATACGATGCAATCTCATAACCATGTACTGTAGCTGGCTGGTAATCCCAACTCTCAGAAGTTGGGATACTGCGCATACTTGGATAGCGCTTCCCACCACTCTCAGAAGTTGGGATATTGCGCACACTTGAATAGCGCCTCTCATCAGAGTCAATAATGCTACGGCTTGAACTTTGCACATACGCATCTAACAACTGCATGTGGCTGGGCAACAATGAGGAAGATCCCCTTTGGACCGCATATGACTCTAAACTGCTTTGAACCATATGCTGCTTTGCAGAGTCATATAAACTTGAGTTGATAAGAGAATCAGATCCTCTGCCTCCTACAGATGGAAAGTATCCCAAAGATTCCTTTGCACCAGTATCAACCTTCGGCGAGGACGACACTGCCTTTGCGACTTGAATTACATTCCCATGGAAATCATACATTTGTCCCCAAAATTCATCAAGCATAGTAGCTAGTTGACGTCTTGCAGAACGCCCCAACCCTGCTAATCTTGAAAGGCTTCCTGTACTGCTCCCCAAATCATCACCTTTTCCACTTAGAGTCCTAAATGATCCTGACCCCTCGGAGGCCAATGGCGCAGTGCTCCCAGAAACCCCTTTTGATAATTCTTCAGGCTCCCAGGTATCTCCCTCATCGTCATCTTTTTCGGTTGGTAAGTCTCCTTCAACTCCTTCAACTTCAACTGTCTTCTCAATTTCTGTTGACTTGACCTTCAGTGCACTGGTGTCCTCCAATGTGACATCAGAAACATCATTAACGACAGTTGCGACTGGAACTGACTCCACTGCAGATGTGGATCCCTCCATGCAGCTTTTAGGGGAGGTAGGAAAGGTAATATGAGAATTACTATTCTCCCCTACAGTTGTTTGGTGAAGTTCCTGATCAGCCTCCACGATAGTGTCAGGCAGATCAAGATCAAAATTTGCAACTTCTGAATCAGCATCCAACCCAAATGATGGTGATGGTTCATGGTTCTGGACACTTGCCTCTCTCTGATACTGAGGTTCAGCTATGTTACTCTCCTCTTCATTTTTCAACGAATCTGGTGTACCCTTCAGTTCCCAGTTCCACACCTGAGCCTCTAATCGGACACTCGCAGATTTTAATGGGGTAGCTGCCAGCCAAATCATCAAACAAAATGATGCACAAGCAGTGAGGAATAGTGACATACTACTACCGCTGTTCGACCTCAAGTTACCACCCCATTCACTATTCCCAAAAATCATTTCTACTACAAATATAACTTTCAATCCAAGCATCCCAATAAGCGTAATCAGAGATAAGAATTCAACAAATTGAGAAATTTTATGGACGCCCATTCTTGGTCTTGAAGCAGCAATTCGAAAAATAGGGATCACAGAAGGTGGCAGTAGCAGAGCTGCCAAAACTTGTGTGAATATAAGCAGTTGATACATTCCTTCAGCTCCCGAACTCCAAACAAAATAAAGGGCTGGAACAATGGCAATAATTCTGATTGTAGCACAATGAAGCCAACCAGGAAGGTCCACTTTCAAAAATTCATTCAGGACTACTTCCCCACCCAGACTCCAGCTTAATGTTGTAATTTGATTTGACAGAACGAGAACCAGTAAGAAGGAAGCTGGCACTATTGGACCGCAAAAGACCTGCATAATTTCAGAAAAGGATTTAATTGGCTCAGAATGCTGCATGATATTGCAAGATTAAATTGAATGCTGCATGATATTGTAAGATTAAATTGGCTCGGGGGAAGAAAGTGTAACCTGTTCCATTAGTGACATTGCATCCTGAAACGTAAGAACAAGGCCTGAACTTGTCTCTGTACTGTAGAATAAATTTTCTGCTGAGGTCATAAGGACATAATTCACCATGTAAATACCACTGAAGATGCATATGATGGCAACTAAATGGTTATGACACAAAGCATCCTTGGGAACAGTTGCCTGCTGCTGATATTGCTGAAAAATTAGAAAATTGGAGTTTTAGAGACCATCACTGCAAATTAATAATCATATGAACAATTTTCAAGTAGTTAACAGACAGGAGTGATGCAAGTGTATTAGTTGAAGCACAAATTAAAATTGATTGCTTCTTGGCTCCCTAGTCGAGCAAGAGAATATCAATCTCCCGTTAATGGAACTTTTTCCTTTCTACTTGGGAAAGAAGTATGAGCATGTCAACTTGGTGGTCTCTAACAACCTCCAGTGACAATCGAAAATGGCACCATTTGTCCTTAATTGCATTATTTTGTAAGGAAGTTCTTTCAAGTGAAAGGAATAGATGACTCAGCAGCATGTCCTGAAAGGAAGGTAATCTTGAAAAACAAGAAAAAGACGGACACTGCATATCCATGCATTAAATGTATATCTAAATAAGTCAACTGTTGAAAACCATTACACATCCAACACACGGGAGAAACATTTGCTACAATTGAATTAAACCAAAATTTCCCATATGAAACAATCTGCATCTGCAATGAGCAATTGTGTAAAACCAAATATGCACAGACAAAACAGCATACAACAAAAGAATCAATATGTGTGTATACATAACAAGATACAGATGCTTGCACAAGCTCATATCCAGCAATATCTGCATGGATGTGAACGTAAATGCAGAGACCAAAACAGGGGAGAATGAGAAGTACAGATACCTGCACAATAGAAGAATGAAAATACAGACTGTGAGGCATTATGCTGGCTCCAAGAAGGCTCATCAGCGCAAATGCACTCTCCCCACTCAGCTTTGTTAGCATCCCATTCATGGAATGGGGCATTTCTGGTTGACTGATAATTACTCCAAGAACAAAGGAAAGGAGTATAAATCCTGTAATATATATGCATACAACCTTCGCCTTGCAAGTTTCCTGGAATATGGATACTCCATCATCATTGTAAACAATATTGCAAATGCGACAGAGGAATAAATTCAAGTAACAGAAATTACCAGGAAGGTGGAAAAAAGAGGGTATAGAACGGCATTAACGGCAGTCAAAAAGACACAAGTGAACAGGTCCCAACCAAACAGAAGATTAAGCCCATGTGCAATGCCAAGGACCTGGTAAAATTAGTGCAATCATACGTTACGAGAATTGTTAACAATAATACAGATCATAACTTAATGCAACAGCTACAGCAGCTACCACATAGTTTTGACAAATTGGAGGTGGGGTAAGTTGGTCATGATAGAGAAATTACCATGGTTAGGTCTGACAGGATCGCAGAAACCTCAGTTTGAATTCCTAAGGATATGCAAGTGCCTTTGTCATACTCCTCACTGCATATCTTTTGACATTAACAAAATTTAAGAAAGAGAAAGAAGATGTTAACACTTGTCGACTTAACATAAAAAGAAAATGTCATACTCTGCACTGCATATCCTATGTGCACATAATTGTCTGAACGAAGGAGAAACAGAGACAGAGATATCAAAAAACCAACTGCATAGCCAATCAAATAAGGAGAGGCAACTATAAAAGCTATCCTGGTTAGGACGCAGCTCGAAAGCATGATTGCAAACAGAGTATATGCATAAGTAATAGCGCCTCCACCAATACCACTTATAAGAAGAATTATGCATTAAAAAACCCTTAAATGAGAAAAATGATACCTGTGCAAGATCTCTTCCGGTGACTACACCAATCCGAGCTGACAGATAGTGACATAAAATAGCTGCCAAATTGAAAATAAGCATCAATGCTGCAAGGTCAGAGCCAAAACAGGCACCTGCTTCAGCAGTTGCTGCCCACTTTCCAGGGTCAATATATCCAACTGAAATCAGAAGCACAGGTCCAACAACAGGAATCAACCGCTGTAGAACACCCGGTATAATGTTAGCATTAGGATTGGCGGATTCCATAGCTATCAACTCTAGGAGAAACCAAATTTCCAGTGCAATGGATTACGGATGACCTTCCTGAACTACTCTGCAAAACTACTCACAAACTGAGGCAGCAGGAGAGAAAAAAGCACTAGCACCAACTTAATATGCCACAATACATGAACCCAATTTACTGTCTTTGGAGGACATAAACAGGTAAGGATAGAGCAACAAATGAAGATCCGGATAAGTCGCGCAGGCTATTCTAATACAGTTGCGCAGATCAAACCTAACTTTTCCAAATGGCTACTACATTATCATTAAACCACATCCAAATGGTTTCCATTGCACGGTAAACTTTAGCCCATTAAATTTTCTATTCATATCCTGAGAATAAACAGAGTGTCCATACAATCCTCGCGAAACTTCAAGCCAATTACTATAATTACAGAGCAAAATTAACAGACGGTCTCAACTCCATCCATGGAACGAACTTCAACCGCTCCAATCATTCGGTACTCTACCTTTGGCATCAATCCTGATCCACAAAATCACATTAGTTTGATGCACCAAAGAAAAGGGCTAGTATCGAAATCAAAGCATCTTCAAACCTATTTTTATGACTAATTCAAATTTTATGACATCATATGCACCAAAACAATTCATCTCCAAAACATGCTTATCTTCCAAAAATGAAATGGTCAATCGAAAAACTAGAACAGAACAACAAAAACAACCTTAACAAGAATCTAAGAGCAACCAATCAAACTCCAACACAACATATTCAAGCAGAAATGCAAAAACCCAGCTCCAAACCCATGTCAGGTCCTTCCCCAACATTAGAAAACAAAACCAAACATAAACAGAATCAACATGGCACATAAAAGTCCCAAAACAACAATAACTCAACAGTTGAAAGACATCCCAAAACCCTAGAATCCCATTACGATGAGAAGGACATCCGAATCCATTGCCATGGATCTGAGGCACCAAGACAAGCAAAACCCAGAAGCCATTTACACAAGAGTCGAGGAAGACGATACAATCAATTGATCAATCAAAGTAAAAAACCACAGAAAGTTGGTGCCTTTGGCTCATGAGTTTTTAGGGTTTTCGAAATGCTATAGCTTTACCTCAACCTTCCTCTGTGAGCCTTCCCCTTCACTTATAATGTTCTGTTTCAGTTTCTCTGCCAATCTCTATCTCCTAATCTAAAGTCCTACACAGGCAGTAGATCTCAGAGGACTCCAAAGAGACCCACAAAGCTTATATATTTATGTAGATAATCTTGTACCGGATATATATAAATATATAGAGAGAGAGACAGAGACAGAGAGAGAGAGAGAGAGTGAGTTATTGGTGGGGTTTCAAGGCCATCTTGATTCTTGAAGACAGATGGTGAAAGTGAGGTTTTGAGGAAAAGAATTTCACAAAATGTGTCTTTTTTTCTAATAAGGATGACAAAACATAAAATATAAAAAAATTAAAAGTTCCTAATAACAGTTTCTACTTTTCTTTATCATGTGTTACCTCCTATTTTCCTCTTTTGATTTTTATTATTAAAAAAAAAATTAATTAATGATTTTGTCACGATAGTCCAACTTTTTAGAGGCCGAAAAAACTCACAAATATATTTGAGGAGAAGTAGACAGATGGCCATCTTGGTTCTTGTTTTTTGATTCATGTGTGTTACCTTCACACATTTATTCAAGAAGATATTTGTATTACAAGTAACTGACATTTTGTGATTTTTAAGAGACAATATGGAGTGGTTAGTAAGAATTTTGATATTAGTGCCAAGAGGAGATATTCATCAATTCATTTTGTGTAACTTTCAAGGGGTCGGACACGTTACAAGGTTTGGACACAAAAACATATGTTTTCTACAAACATTCAACCATGCAATTTATTTTCACTAGTTCCTTTCAGTCATTTAATTTGCACGTAGTTTGAAGATTCTTAAACATCGATACGAGACCCGATATAGAATCCACATTAATCAATATTGTGATTTGCGAGTAGCAATTGTCAATATACACGTGGAAAATAGATGCCAGCATTTGCTTTCTTAAGAAGCAAAATACTATATGTTTCTTTTTTTTATCTGTATTGCTTTAATCATTCGTTTAGAAACTCAATGTTAGAAAGATGATCGTCACAAGGGATTTTTTTGGTACCATTAGGGCCGAAGGTTAAGACCATCTTCAAAGGAGATGTCAAATATGTCAAATAAGATTAAAAGATATTTAAGTGTTCTCCAATAGATATGTTATATATGATATGGCATATGAGTCATTTGATTCCTTGTTTTCTAGCTGCATTTTTTTACAGCAAACAAAGAAAAAGTCAAATATATTTAATTTAATTTTTAATGCATGGGTCCCATTAGCAACCAATAGAATAAAAATTAAAACTAATTTTGATTATTTTTTAATAGTTAATGTAACTCTAGTCCCAATAAAATAATAAAATAAAATTTTGACATATTATATTTGACATCTCCTTTAGAGATTCTCTAATAACCAATTTAACCACAATCCAATTCACATATCTAAGACCAACTGGTTGGGTTAAAACTCAAAACTTAAGTTTTAAACTCGCTCAAAGCTTCTCCAATCATTGGACTAAAAAAAAGGTTTTGGGTTACAAATTATTTTTTGGCCAAATTTAACCCAAAAATGAGCCAAAATACAGTTAGTAAAAATGTCAACCACCTGTGAAAGGACCAACGACTATTTTTTTTTTTGGATGGCTCACGTGGTTGGACCGTTGGTTTAAACCAACAGTCTAGATTCATTTTTATTTAAATAAAAGGGTAACAAATTGTTTACTACCCTCATGTTTCGTGGTTTTCAACATTTAATACATCGAGTTTTTTTTGTCCCAAAGTCATACCTAAAGTGTTAATTTTGGGACAGTCTCATACATCCGTTAGTCAAACTGTTAATTCTCCCGTTAAGTGATGACTTGGCGCCCATGTGGACAATGACTAGGCGCCATGTGTCATTAAAAATATTTAAAAAACTAATTAAATTTAAAAAAAAAAAAACCTATCCCATCTCTCCCCCCCCCCCCCGCCCCCAACCCACAGAAAAAGAAGAAGAAGAAGAAGGAGGAGGAAGAACCCAAAAAAAAAGAAAAAAAAAAAGAAGAACCGAAGAAGAAGAAGGGAAAAAAAAAAAAAAAAAAAAAAAAAAACCGAATCTGCAACCCAGAAGAAGGCGGAAGAAGCCTTCTCCCCCCTCCCCCAATCCCTAACCCAGAAGAAGAAGAAAAAAAAATAGAAAAACCGAATCTACAAAAAAAGAAGAAGAAGAACCAACCCAAAAGGAGGAGGAAGAAGAAAAATAACAACCCAAACCCAGTTCGTCCCCCCTCCCCCCCCTCCGGCCCTGCGACCACAAACGCAAACCCAGACCATGAACTCCATATTTTTGGGATTTTCAATGTTGGTGAATTTCGAAAATACTTTGAGATGGGGAGTTTGAGTTTGAGATGATTTTTGGACTGATTTTGTGGTAGATCTCCATTAATCTAGAAACGACGAACTGGGTTTTTTTTTCCCTCTTCTTCTTCTAGGTTCTTGTTCTTGTTCTTCTGGGTTGGGGGTGCGGGGGAAGAAGGGTTGGGTGTGCGAGAAGGGTGGGTACGGGTTGCAGAGTAGAGAAGGGAGGGTGGTTGTGCAGGTGCAGAAGAGAGAAGGGAGGGAAGGTGTGGGGTTGCAGAAGAAGGAAGGGAGGGAGAGGGTGCGGGGAAGACGAAGAGGTGGGTGGTGGGAGGGTAGGCACAGGTGGGATTGGGTGGGATTTGGGGAAGATGAAGGTTTTTTTTTTTTTTTTTAATTTTATTTAATTTTATTTATATATATATATTATATTTATTTATTTATTTTATAAATAATTTGTTTTTAATTTCCACGTGGATGACACATGGCGTCTCAGACATTGTCCACATGAGTACCACGTCACAGTTAACGGGAGACTTAACAGTTTGACTAACGGATGTATGAGATTGTCCCAAAATTTACACTTTAAGTATGACTCTGGGACGAAAAAAACTTGATATACTAAATGTTGAAAACCACAAAACATAAGGGTAGTAAACAGTCTTTTACCCTAAATAAAACTATAAATACACTAAAGCCAACAATTGAGATCGAATATGAGCAAATATAACGATAAAAAGAAAATCTAACAACCCAAAATTAAATCCAACAGCTAAAAACAATTATTTAAATCAAAACTCACCCAAAAACTCTATAAATATCTATGTATTTGTTCAAATATCCACACAAAATTATCAAACAATTCTTCCTTTTTCTTTCTTTCTAGTCAACTATGTATTTGTGTTTAAGAATGTTACATCCCACATTACCGAGGGGAGTGGATCCTCTAAACCTTATATGTATATTCTCATCTCTACCTAGCACGAGGCCTTTTGGGAACTCACTGGTTTTGGGTTTCATCGGAACTCCGAAGTTAAGCGAGTTCGCGCAAGAGCAATTCCAGGATGGGTGACCCATTGGGAAGTTCTCATGTGAGTTCCCAGAAACAAAACCATGAGGGCGTGGTCGGGGCTTAAAGCAGACAATATCGTGCTACGGTAGGGTTGAGCCCAAGATGTGGTGGGGGCTCAGGCCGAGATGTGACAATTTGGTATCAGAGCCAATCCTTAGTCGGAAGTGTGCCGATGAGGACGTCAGGCCCCTAAGGGGGGTGGATTGTTACATCCCACATCGCCCAAGGGAGTGGATCATCTAAGCCTTATATGTATATTCCCATCTCTACCTAGCACGATACCTTTTGGGAACTCACTGACTTCAGGTTCCATCGAAACTCCAAGTTAAGGGAGTTCGTGCAAGAGCAATTCCAGGATGAGTGACCCATTGGGAAGTTCTTGTGTGAGTTCCCAGAAACAAAACCATGAGGGCGTGATCGGGCCCCAAAGCAGACAATATCGTGCTACAGTGGAGTCGAGCCCAGGATATGGTGGGGGTCCGGGTCGGGATGTAACAAAGAATGAGGTAGGTTGTGTGGTTTTCCATACTCTTTCATGTGGTGCATATGTGTAAGAATGAGGTAGGTTTAGTGATTGTTCATAAAAATAAATTAGGATAATCTATATAAATTTTATTTCTAAAAAAGTTACCGGAAAAAAAAATTAAGGTAAAATCATTCTTTAATAATTTCGGGCTAAAATTTTAAACCAAAACTATTGGAGGAGAAAAACTGTTTCTAGATTAGGAGTAGGTATAGGGAACTCAACCTCTATTGCTTCCAAGTCTATTGTTTTAATTACAATTTCTAAAAAAAATTAAGCTATTGTAGGGCATCAGTATGTAAGACAAAATTTCGCTTGTCATGATAATTTTTTTAGCGTGACTATATAATTGTTACGTGAGATTACTAATCTACTAATATTATATTTATAAATGTTATACTCTATAATCTAAATTCTTAATAAAACTATATAATGGTGTAGCAATCGCATCTATAAATTGTTTCTTTGTTCCACACCAATAATTGTAATAAATCTTCCAACGGCCAAAACGGAAAATTTCTAAATTTGGTATTCTTAAACCGGAAATTAAGATTTCCCATAAAAAAAATAATAAATAAATAAATAAAAACCATGACAATACTACGGTGGATACGATACGTAATGGCAAATAAATACTTTGTTACTATTTAATCAATGCTTTTAATTTTTGGCCATGCAATGTATCGAACTGAAATACGTGCCCCCCCCCAACCCACAAAAAAGCCCTATTATTTCATTAATTATAATCTATCTCTTATATATAAAGCCAGAGCCCTAATTTGGGGTCACAGCTTTGACAAAAATAATGGGACCAAACTACCCCTCAGCTAAAAAAATTCAAAACCTACCTAAATATATCAAATCGTGCAAGGGTAATTTGGTAATTTGATCATTATAAAATATAATATAAATATAAATGAGGAGAAAGAAAAGAATAAAAAAATAAAAGGTAAAAGAGAAAAGAATAAACAAATGACAAAGTTGTTGGTGCCCGGGGAAGAAAAATATAATAAAAAATAAGAAAAATCATAAATGTTGTGTTCAAAACATAATAAGAGGCACATAGCGCTGGTAATAAAAAAATTAACGAAAAAAAAAATAATGAAACAATTCACGCATATAAATACATTTAAAATATCTAAGTGGCGCGTAACGCGCTATGATTCAAAACATATCTTTTGCAAGTGGGAAGAGAGAAAAGATTAAAAAAATGGAAGAATGAGTGAAAGTTGATGGTGCCCACATGAAGGGGAAAGAAAAATATAATAAAAAAGAAGGAAAATCATGAATATTTGATGCGAGATTTATACGCACAA